TCTGGTTTACTTAGATTGATATAAACAGGGCTAGATTATTTGAAATTGGATCACTACATTGCTGTTACTGCTACTATACAGGGTTTGATCCAGTTAGTCCTTCTCTCAGTGGGTGGGTCCATAACAGGATAGCACCATCTCCCCTCTCAATCATTTCACATTCACATAAAAAAGTAAACAACTTTTGTAAAAAGATATTAAAAAGTTTTTGATTTTTTTTGGAAGACTCATTAAACCCACTTAAATCTTACTTACACTACATGTACTATACTTATAATCAATATTCTTTCCATCATTATTTTTCTTTATACCTTAATGTACATATTCAGAGAAGAACACCTGCCTACTCTTATACTCTGACACTAAATCATCCCAACCACCCTTAAAATTTGCATTTTTCCAAAAAATGAAAATGAAAATTAGAGGCAAATAAGAGGATGCTTCCATACCTTTAGCCTTTGCTTTTGGAATAAGCTCTCCACAGTTGCTGATTTTGATGTCAACTAAGGGACGACTTTTGTCATCAACTTTTTGATTCTCAATTTCTGATACAATGTCCTGTCCTTGAAGCACATGGCCAAATACCACATGGATCCTGCAAGTTTTCAACCAAAGATTGAAAGATGCCAGCACTAATTGCATAATTATTAAACTATGAATTTAGCTTTGGAAAGTTCGTTTTTGTTTTGTTTTGTTTTTTTCTTTTTGTCATCAGCCAAGTGTCAGGCCTGTACTTTAAATTACAGGTGTACAGACTGGTTTTTTTAAACACTAATTACATGTAACTCCTAAAGTGAAAGACAACAGTGGAGTACTTCCATGCAATATCAACACATTTTCAAGCAGGAAGGCAAAAAGAAATAAAATCATCAAAAACAGAATTTTGTGCCAGAAAAGTAGGCATATTCTTCATTTTGACTGATTATGAACCACACATCTAGAAGAATTAAGATAATGGTCCAGTACATACAGATACAGTAGACTATACTGTATATACATGTATACAACTATGTTGGCACCTACAGGGTAATGAACAAATGACTTAAACACTTACCCATCGAGATGAGGAGTGGGTTGGGTTGTTCTGTGGGGAAAGAAAGGAACACACATCAATTTATGTGTACTTGGCATCACTGTTATTGAATTAAAAGTTAAAATAGCGTAATTCCATTCTGACAGATTCAGATTTTAGAGTTAAACTAATGAATACCTACATGTAGGTACATGTAGAATAAACACATGTGGATCTGAAATAATTTTTTGAGGCAATTTTCAATTGCTTATCAATAGTAATCCACAAGTGTGATTGCTATTTTTTTTCTTTTAGTTTGCTTTGAGATTGCTTTATAAAATTACACAACCTAGCCTCTTGGTAGATCAAATGCCAGAAACTACACTGATGCTACTACAACAACAGAATGGTCACCAAAGGTTTGTCAAGCAAAAATTTCAGGCTTTTCCCTCAATATCTTTTAATTGAATTCTCACAAGCTGTTCTGTGAATTGTACAATACTCCATCTCCTTTACCAGCTGACTCACAGAGGACAGAACTGCTTTTCATTGTAGTTTAGAAAGCATTCTTTAAAATAGTTTTGGGCCACTGTAAGAGTGAATTGGGAAACACTTCCCTGTGCTTGTTTGTTTGTTTGCTTGTTTTTTGTTGTTTTTTTTTAATATCTTTTGGCAAACTGGCGAGTTTTGACAACAATAACTTAATTCTTGAAAAAATGAAAGATACCAAAACCAGCCACAAAAAAAAATACTTTGCAAGAATTAAGTTGTAGACCACATGAAAAAATAAAATGAAAATTGTGAAAACTGAGTAAAAAGAGCCCAACATCTCATGATCAAGCCCCTTTTCCATTCAACTGGCTGTTATTAAACATAATTATCATGCTAAAAAGAGCTTCAAAGTTAAATAACTTAATATTTCTTCTAGTACTCACATGAAGAATTGTGATCCATTGGTATTAGGGCCCCTGTTAGCCATTGATAGCAACATTGCCCTATCATGCTTAGCATGAAAAGATTCATCTGCCACACCCAAAAAGGAAAGAAATTTATATTAGAACCTCACCATAGAGATTTTGAGCTTTTATACTTGCTGTCTTGACCTGAATAGTTCTTGGCAAAAAAGTTCAATGAAAAATATTTTACCAGAGATCAAATGCACTTTTAATCACTAATCCATGATTATGACTGGTCTTAAAATAAATCCACTGTACATGTCATTTGGCAGCAGATCACAGACCCAGCAAAAACTTTGAGAGTTGCTTATTGTTCTCTTCCTGAAATGAATCATTTGTCCTGACAAATCAGGCAACACTTTTAAAATCTTTTCATTCCTAGGAGTGACCAAAATGAACTTATCCAAACAACATCAAAACAGTTTTAAGAAGCAAGAAGATGAGAAGCTGGGAAAATATTAAGAAGGGGATGTTTCTTGATTTGATGTAAAAAGTGCTCAGAGCTTGTGTTTGTTGTATACAATGTACATGTGCACTAACCATTAAACATTCCTCCATAAATAGATTCTCCTCCTGTTCCATTCCCTGTGAGGAAAATTTTCACTGAGTTACAGTTGTACAATATGAAAAAAAACAGTGTAACCGAATTGATCATTCCAACTGCAAAATGGCTACTTTTTGTTTTAATCATTAATTAAGTTAATAGAAACAGTGTATTTAAATATTTCCATGATTCAATGACAATTAAGCAGTAGAGTTTTTCATCAGTGTCACCATGACAATACATGTACAAAGACCATACTGCATGTATGTTTCTGAACCCACCTTTGGTGAAATCTCCTCCTTGAACCATAAAATTCTTAATAACACGGTGAAATGGCGACCCTTTGTAATGCAAAGTTTTTCCTGAAACCTTGCTTAGCCCATTTTCTCCTAGAAATAACAAGTTTTTTTAATTATATCTAATGCATAAACAATAAGATGTGCCTAATCCTTTACACCCTTAAAGAGGTAGTAAAGTATCATCCCTTAAATCAACTCTAAAGGTCATGAGAATAAAAGAAATGATTGTGAACTCAAGAAACTCTTGATTGTTAGATAAATTCTCCTTATGAGTAATAAAGGAAGTGTAAAGAGAACAGTATAGAGAACTTGCATACTGATTTTGGGGTGTAAATAGTTAAAATTCATAGATGTTGAAAGCAAATAAAATACAATAATACATGTAACATAAGCTAAATTGGTACACTGTACCAGGCAATGGGAAATGCTAAGTCTAGCTACATTGTAAATACTTTATGCATGGAACAGAAAAAGACCCAAGACTGAGGTGGCTTATTTCTGTTGACTCTCAGATATGTTCAAAATTAACAAGTATCAAATTTTCCTAATGATTTAAATATATCATCTGCCACATGGATAATGATTGCAGAGAAAAAATATTGCCAAAAGTTTGTTCATTTAATATAAAACCAATTCCACCTAAATTATTTTAACAGCTCAGTGAACTAGCAGATTAAGGATTTTGTTTCAAATAACAACAAATTCTCAGTGCTTTAACCCATTCAGTCCCAAGATCTTATTTGTATTTCTCCTTACTGTTTTCCATGTACAATTCTTGTGATATGAGTTTAGAGAATTTACTATTGGATCGACGAACAATCCCCTAATTGATATTTTTCTTTATTCTCTTCACTTGCCTGCTTGACAGAATGTTGGTACAGTAAGGAGAAATTCTGTCTTGGTCATTCATGAGATTTAAAGGATTAAGTTCATGATTATCATAACATTATTCTTCTTTCATTTGCATGCAAATAAGCTTTCTTGGCCTCACTGTTGAGCGAAAATACAATTGTTTTTAGACGTGTGGTCAAGGCCAGGAAGGCTAACTGGCATAAATATAAAAGAGAGTTATTAGGTGATTTATTAATGTGGTCTACAGTAGACAGTCTTCAAATCAGTTTTCATGAAGACTTCATGAAGACTAATTGGAAACAAGTTCCTATGAATGCCACAACAAATATATTGCCATCACTTAGCTTACTATAACTGAGTGTTTCTCTCACCTGTACATAATGCTCTAAAATTATCACAAGTTTTTGGACAAATATCAGCAAACAGTTCAAAAATAACCCTGCCAACTGGTAAGGAAAAAAATCTTTATTTAATAGATCTAATACATAGAGATAATAGTATACTACATGTAAGCCTTAGTATACTAAATGTAAGCCTTATCAATTTCTTCAAAATTTTAGATAATGCATTGAAATACCATTGGCTGACAATGAAAACGTTGGCCAAATTTTCATCAAGATATACATGTGAAATCCAAGTTAACTTTTTCAATTCTTAGGAGACACAATTCTAGTGTTTTCTTGGTTTGCAGCTGTTGAATCTCAATCATGCTCTTCAGTACCTTCTTAAGGTAATTTTACACATTGCAGGAAACTGCTAAAAACACCTAGCAAAGTTTCGATAAACTCTCATGAGTGTAATAATTGACACCTCCACGATTTTTTTCCACCTTAGACATTGACCAATAAGCAAAAAATTAATCAAATGGGCTAACTAAAGTTCCCAACAAAAAAGCAAGGTTTCCACATTTTTGAGTGATATGTTGAAGGCTACTGAAAAAATGGTGTAAGAAGCAGGTTTTTGCTCCTTCCCCAGAGTCACCTATAGAGGAGTCTGTTCGTGTGTTAACATAATTTAACAGGTATAGCTTCCTGCGATCATCAAAAGTATCAGGTAAGTGATGGATGTTTTCGTTGAAGACAGTGCTTACAGCCAAAATCTACCACTCTTACAAAAAAAATTGCTAGCAAACAACACTTAAGGCTTAATTTGACTTGTACTTAACAGGTAGTATTTCTGTTACCTTGCGAGCCGTTAATTTCTACATCAAAAAAGCATCTAGGACGATAGCCTTTCGCCTTAGGAACCGCCATCTTGAATTTCTTTACAACCCAAATAGGTGTCTGGGATACTCTATTTTAGTGAATGACCACTGAATAAAACACTGCAGGCCTGTGAAAACAAAATGGCAGTCGCGCTGGTCACGAGAGCAGGGTTGTGTGTTTTAAATTTACCCAATGGCTGCACCATGTAAACACAAAAAAGATAATTAGGGCCATCAGGACATTTTTGTAAGCTTAAAGTGAAGATGGCGCACGTTACTGTGGACTGGATCCCCCTTGGAAAGGTGTATTACAGGTGAGGTTCTTTCCAATTGTATACTTTCGAGCTCTCTTTAATCATTTCGATTCTTGACCCTACGATTTTTAAGCGTAACGGATATATTTTTGTGGTACGTAAAATAATAGCAAAAAATGGCTTATTTCAATGGGAAACCTCATGAAACGAAATATAACGGAATGATAATTGTACGATCTCAGAGAGGGGTGGGGGGGGGGGGATCCTGCGTACGCTTCACGCATATCAAAAAGTAGAAACAACGCATCTCGAAAAATCGCAGTAACAATTTTAAGGTTCATGTATGGAAAGAAATCGAAAAATTCACTGATCATAGGGTTTTGATTTGGTATTTTCACAGGTCAAGAAAATTAAAAACTCTCAAATTTCGCACAACAGAAAAACCTCTTTCACTCCCCTCTTCACTTTACTTTCCCTAGGGTGCTGACAAGGAGAATTTGTATTTGACACCAGTTACATGAAGATTAAAAATTATGTTTCCTTTATTTTGTTGTCTGTAGAAAAATTGAGTTATATAGCATGGCCTGGCAAGAAGCTGTGGATCTTTCTAAGTTTACAATAAGTGCTGCTCCATTTGGGGGTCCAATAGGTAGGTGAAAATTTCTTTCATTTAATGGTTATTTCTGATAATTCCTTGCTTAGTTTCCTTCTGTCATTTCTCTGATGATGGCCAATTACTTGTTTGGTATATAAGATCATTGTTATCTGAGAAGTGACAGGCTGAGCAAGTTTAGTGTAAATTTTACTCTGTGTGAGTGTATGACATAGTAGCCTAATGGTCAGTGGGCTGGACTGTGGGTTAAAAGGTCCAGGGGCCTGTTTTGCAATGGTCCCAATAACTTGATGGGTCCACAAAGCTATTTTAATTTTTGGTCCATGTGGGGGTTCTAAAGGTTTTTAAATCAGTGCAAAAAACTATCGGTTAAAGAAACAAAAGGGACTGGTAAAGGTGCCAGGAACTGCCTCTCTATTCTTTAAATTTCAATTTTAGTATATGGTTTTGGCCTGTTAAGTTACAAGGACTTTCACAAAATGGGCCTCAGGTAAGAGACCTGGCCAGGTCATTGTGGTGTATTCTTTAAGGCAAAACACTCTACTTCCACAGTGTCTCTCTTGCCTTAGAGCTTAAATGGGTACAGGTAAATTTTCAGGGAAGCCTGATGAAGTGCTGGGGGGATAACCTTGTGATGGACTGACATCCCACCAGAAATGGGGGAGTGGGGAGTAGTAATACTCCTTGTCACTTCAAGCCATGGAAACCAGGTTAAGCTCTGGCTGGATGGGTCACTTGGCTGAAGAACAGACTTAACCCTTTAACTCTCATGATCTCATTAGTAATTCTCCTTACTCTCTGCCAAATGATTCTCATTATGTTAGTTTGGAGAATTTGGTATTGGATCAATTAATAATCCCATAATTGATATTTTCTGTATTCTCATCACTTGTCTGCATGATATCATACAGATATAGTAAGGAGAAATTCTGTCTTGGTAACTCATGGGAGTTAAGGGTTAACATACCCTCTTTCCTATATGTACTCAGCTCGCTTGCCAGTTATCTTTTACAGTACTGAAGATCTCAGTGTCTATCGTAATTCCAAACAAGGGAATGATCACAGGCTAAGTTAAAAGTAAAATGAAGAATTTCATGAAGAGGGAACTCAATACTGATTTTCATGTTGCATTAAACACTTGCAGCTCTGGTGAGTGATGATAAACATTTTGTACGAGTCCATGGATCATCTATTAACAAGCCAGTTATTCATATTTTTTCCTCTGCTGGAAAGGAACTTGCCTCTGTCAAGGTAACCTCAAGCTCAAGTTTGTATCTAGTTATGATTTAAATTGATTCCTTATTTCACCATTTAAGTCATTTAAAAACTACTTTCCTCCATTTAAAGCTCCAAAGCATAACAGTGCCACCAAATTCAGTAATATAATTTTTTTCTTCTGTGGAAAAACTGCTTCAAATCGTAATTCTTATAACATTAACCTCTCAACTCTCAAGATCTGTTATTATTATTAATATTGACAATAACTAATTCCAATTCTTCCATCTAGCTGTTACAAATTTCCTTGAAAATTAGTTTACAGAATTTGGCATTGGATCAAAGAAACTCCTCCCTAATAAGTTTGAATATTATTATAACCTGTTTGCTGGACAATGTGTATAGTATTAAAATGGGAAGTAACATGTTAATTTTTTCCGAGATTGAAAGAGTTAACCCTTTGACTCCCAGATTAAATTTGTAATTCTCCTTACTGTCAACTATACAATTCTTATAATGTTAATTCAAAGAATTTAGTATTGGATCAGCTAATTATCCCTAACTTGATATATTTCTTTATTCTCATCACTTATGTGGTTGATATTGTATTGATATTGTAAGCAGAAATTCTGTCTTGGTGACTTCTGAGATTGAAAGAGTTTAAGAAGTTTCCTTTCTTACCTGAGCTTGCTAGGGTAAAGAGGGAAACTTCTGACAAATCTGATAGATTAGACTCCTTCTGACCCATTGTTAGTATAATTCATACGTGGAAACATTTTTGTTTGCTAGTCTAAAGGCAAGAATCTTGAACTAGTTTACAGTAACTCAAAGAATTTTTCCTTTTTCCCTTTATTTTATAAAAATGCATGGCTTTTATTAACAAGGTTGAAAGTAGGAATGTCGTTTGGGTTAATTAAAGAGTCCCCTCTTTTTTTACATATTATGTTGAGGTTTATAAGAGATGTGTCTGTAAAGAAAAGTTTTTATGCAATAAGTTTTTTCCTTTTTCACAAAGCTGATGTATTATCTTCATGATATCGTGTTTTATTCTCCTTAGTGGGATGCAGGCTCAATTGTTCAGATGGGTTGGTCTGTTACTGAAGATCTTCTGTGTGTAGCTGATGATGGTACTGTTTTGGTTTATGACATTCATGGTGCCATCAAGAAAACTTTAACCATGGGACAGGTTGGAAATATGAAAATGATTTTTGTCTCAACTACAGTGGTGTACATTTTTAGCATACAGTGTACATATAGTATTACATGTACCTTTCATGACCACTTTAAATAATTTCTTTGAATCCATGGGCCTTTTGGTTTAAGAATCTTGAAATCTAGTTTTTAAGTGTATATTTTTCTAAAAAAATTTGGAATGACTAAATTTCCTGATTGATTCTTAGGATATCAGAATTCACCTCACCAAATTGCTTACAGTACTTTCTTTTTTTTAGGATGCCAAGGAATCAAAGGTTATTGATTGTAAAATTTATAGCTTTGCTGGACGGACAGGTATAGCAGTACTGACTGGTAGCTACCACTTTTATGTGGCCAACAATGTGGAAGAGGTACGAAGTCGACGGTTTTTTGACCCCCCAGGTAATAAATTTTACCTATCATGTTACTGCCATTTGAGTGTGTAATTGTGCAAACTTATCATCCAGGGCCAGGTTGTTCAAAGTTGGGTTAAGATAACCTAGGGTTAGTGTGAAATCTGATTTTAGATTTGGAAGCTTTAAAAGAAAATTCAATACCTTTCCTTTTGGCCACAGTTTGATGATTGGATGTCCTAAAAGGAACAGAAGAAATTATCTGGAAAAGACTTTCGAACAAAGGAAAAAAGAAATCCAGATTGAAATATAACACTAGCTTAGCACTAATTAGATTCAAACAACCGGGCACTGCCTTGTCAATAGGCGGGTACCCTGTAAAGAGCCAAAAGCCCAAACCTCTACAGAGGTCTGAGGGCATGTGCCTCCAGGAAATTTTTAAAACATAAGTCTCACAGAAGCACATTTTCCTGCAATCTGGAAAAGGAATCTTCTTGCATATGACACATACTTATTCTAATTATAGTAAAAAGGAATGACACTCTGGGAGAATTTGTTTATTTCACTACACAGCTATAACTACATCAAAACACTGCTGTAGTTCTCAGAGCCTCCTTTTTTCTTACAGTTACAAGCTAACTCAAACTTAACTCAAAACTTTCAGCGCCAGCACAGGCCGAAGCAGATTTTCACATTTGAAGTTTTTGATATGTTAATGCTTTTGAATGCATTTCCTGGCTTTGTCTTGAATGAAAATTAAATTGGAAAAAAGTTTTTTTTCCAGTTTCCTTCACTTGCTCAGAGTATTCAAGCTTTGAAAGCCAACAAAATGTTGGCTTATTGAGACACACATGTCAGCTGATGAGCATCTTTTACAGCAACATTGGTCTCTTGTAGTGTATTTTATTAAGTGTTTTATGAACAGTTTAAATGATTGAAAGCACAGAAAGGATATGTAATTTTTAAAAAATCATTTTACTGACTGTAATCTATTTTAGTGATTAAAAACTGGAAAACATAAATTTAATTGTTATTGCTCTTGACCTTTCATATGCAAATGATGCTTGCATGTTTTGCTCCAATGAATGTGTAATTAATGTAAGTGTAAAAATGCTCAAAACTAACCTTTTGACTTCTTCTATGCAAATGACAAAAAAGAATTCAGGACTTGAGTTTTTCTTTTGCTTGCTATGCTGACACAAAGAAATGCATTTGCTTTTAATGGTGTCATACGTCACATGCAAGAGTTATGTAAAAGCTAATCAGGCACTTTAAGATGATAAGAATGCAATTGTCGTGCAGCACCTTCTTGTCAAAGTAAATTTTATTTCCAAGATCTTATGGCAAGTTATTGAAAACTTTGTGCAGAAAAAAATTTAAACTTAGAGGCAAGAGTTAATATTTTGTTGAGGTTGATATTATTTCTTGATGATTTTTTTTTTCAATTTCATACTTTAAGTAGCTGGGTACTCTGTTCATAGTAGACAGGTGCTAGTGCCTGGAACCCAGCTTCTAATAAAAACCCTGATTTTCTAAAGTTGCCATTTGGCAACCTAAAATTGCAGAATGGTAAAAAGGCAGACAAAAAAGTTTTTCTTCCCTGGAGGAAAAAAGAAAAAAGAAAAGATGGAAAAGGAAGTTTACTTGCAGTATGACCTATCAGTAATAATTATTTCATGCATATCTTTGCCTTCTTTTAACTTCAGTGAGTGAATTCCTTGAGTAATAAATTGTAATAGGTAATTTGTTAGTAAAATACATGTGTAAAGATTAAATAAGTAAATTAATAATAATGATAATAATAATTATAATAATAATAATATTAATAATAACAGGATTAAAGGAAAAAAAAGAATTGGCATTGTAACCACAAAAGATTAGTACTGTGAGTATTGTTACTATTGCTAGTATTTTTGTGTCCCTCCATTGTTATTAGCATTATTATAATTATTCTCATTTTATTGGAAGTTGTTGTATGCTTGATTGATAAAGAGGGTTTGGAAATGAAAATCTAAATAATGAAAATTACAATAAAAAGTCAAATTGTGATAGTACATTGTTTACCATTGTTTCCAAACTGGAAACTATGGTCGCAAATTAGATGCCATAATTGTTGTCGTCTTACCATGGTGAGCAGAATGATTGCAGCTTGGAACACTGTCATCCACAATGTGACATTATGACACAGTGATGATACATGTTTCCCTCTATTGAATTTTTGATAGGGTTGGATGCCCCACCAAGCAGCTGGGTGATAATGCCTCATGAGAGAGGTTCTTCTTTGCTTGTGGCAATTGATCATCTCCTTTACCTTACAGAAAAAAGTCAATGTAACAGACAGGTTGGTTAACCCTTAACACCCTAACATCAGTATGCATATTCTCTATACTGTTCTCTATACATTTCCTCAGGTGCTGACAAGGAGAATTTGTTTAACAATCAAGAGCTTTTTTAGTTGGTGATCATTTCCTTTATTCTCATGACCTTAATGTGTGATTCAGGGGTGATATTGTAAGGAGAAATTAGATGTAAGTCACTCTAAGGGGTCAAAGGGTTGATAAATGCACATGTGCATCCTTTTTTTGGAAACAAAGTTCTAGAACAGCCTTAGCTCCATATTTATCACGGCAAGGTTGAGAAAATAGGGGGGCCCAAGTAAATCAGATGGAGGCTTACTAGAAATTCACCTCCTGCTTACTAGTAATGAAAAAAAAAATGAAAAATGTATTTTTCAGGTAGGAAGGTGCCTGAAAAATGCTGTCAGTGACTTCTGATTGACTGCTAGATTCTCCTTCCAGATTGTCTTGTATTTCCTTGTGGAACAGAGGGAGAATTTGATGTTACCTCAAAAGTCACTCAGTGCTTCATTTTTTTTTTCACTTAGAACACCATTTCCTTAGTAAGCCTAGAGATAGTACAAATTGTGTGCATTCTTTGTGACCCCCTACCTACTACTTTCAGTTTAATATGTAAATAAGAAAACACTAGAAATGCTTGGTACAGATTGTTAGCACATTGACTTTGCATTTTTTGCTTCAAAGGTATCTAAATGGCAAATGTAATGGTAAAAGATAAATTAAAATAGAAAATGATTCGACAACTAGGAAAACTTTGAACAAATAATAACAAACATTTCACCCAAGTGGAATAAGAGTGTATTACCTTGTAGAAATGGAACTAGGAAAAAGAAGCACTTATAATACTCAATGTATGTTGTGTTTATTGTTGTCATCCAGGCTGTAAATTTCAAGGAAGGACCAGTAAATTCCATTACAGAGATGGCAGTATCTTATAACTGTGAATACCTGGCAATGTTCACAGATACTGGATTGCTATGGATTGGATCTGCAGATTTGGAGGTTTTGTATTTTTACTTGTTTTGTGACTGAATGAATGAATGACTGATTAATGGATGGATTATGTAATTGATGAACTGATAAACCAATTGACTGATTGATTGATTGATCGATTGAAAGATTGATTAATGGATAAGTTAAAAGAGAGATTGTCCATAGTAGATTTTTTAATCACTTGCACTATTTTTAATTGCTATTTAAACCCCTTTTTATCTTGGAGGGATAACCTTTAAAAGTATATGTTGAAGGGGTGATGTCAAGTCATTTTGAAATGTTTTTTTTGGCATACCAAACTACCTTAAAGTTGGACTTGAAATAATACTGAACATAAGTTTAAGGCAAGGCTTTTTTTTAAGATTAAAAAAGTCTGACATACACTTTAGCTCTTTTTGCCCCATAACTCCAGGAAATGATGGATGAATAACTTCTCAGTTCAATTTCAATACAATTTACAGCAATTAGGTGACCAGAATACACACATTTGCTGGCTGGAACTCCCCCTCTTGAAATTTCACCAAACTCTCTTGAACTGTTTCATCAGGAAATTTATAACAGCTAACAGAGAAAATTACTATTTAGATCTTTGGAGTTAATTGTGATGGTCTAATCTCAAAAACCACCCAAGGCTTGTAGACAGACTCCTTAACAAACTGTGTATGTCCTTTCTGTTTGCAATAGAAAGTCTACTGTGAGTACAGCACTGCTTGTCTTTCAAGACCCAAACAGCTGGCATGGTAGGCTGTCTGACATATTTTAGTTTCTAGCCTGGTTGGGATGGGTAGAATATGGGATGGGAAAATAGTTTAGAACTTTTATGCAGTTGTGACTTCATGGAGTTAACTACATTGTATTAAGGACAACTTCGATTGGGTGAAAGAAAATGTGTGAACCATTTGTGGTAAGTGTAGAACAAAATATCCCCTAGGGAGATGCGAACCCCTGATAACCCTGATTTGACAGTCAATCTTACTAGTAACTGAGCAATTTTTTTTTTTTGGGGGGGGGAGGAGAGTGGGGGTATGGCAAACACGTCTTTTGAAGGGGGAAATAACTCTAGTTTTCAATGGATAAATTAGCTTATAGGAGTTGACAAAATGTACTGCGATACCCACCAGATAGAGATTTATCCAGAAGATAGCATTAAGCACCCTTCATGCAACCATGGCCAAATGTTGGTTACTCCAAGACTGTTCCTGGCATGTAGTTAATAAAACAGAACAAAATAGTAAATGGTGCAATAGTAATGGTGGAGTGAAAAAGCAGGTAAGGCTTGGGTTTTGTTGGGCTCTTTGCCTGAAACTGCCTAATCCTCTGATTCTCAGTTTTCTTACTTCGCAGGTGTGCCATGGGTGCAGTCATCTGTTACTGGGAAGATTGTTTAGATGTGATTGGACCAACAAAAGACACTGTTCGATATCCTTTAAACAAATGCTGTTTTAAGAGCACTTAGAGATTCAACTCTCTCTTGGTCAATATCTGTGAAAATGATGTTGCTAACAGCTTCAGTCCCTCCAGATGGATGTGATAAAAGCAAGAACTTTGAGATTTTACTCTTTAGCTGTTTGAAAGGATTAGTACGGTGTTCTTTTACTAAATTCTTCCAATGATTTTTATACCTTGTTATACGGACTGGCATTGATACTTACATTTATTTCCATGATAAACCATCATTGGCACATCAGTTAAATCTTAGATCCTGTGAGTTTAAGGGTTCATTGGTTACTCAACTGGGTATTTCTGTAAACATTTATAAGAAACTGTACAGCTTATACAAAATTTTAAATCTGTTTATTTAGAGTTAGAGTGCTTTTTGATCAAATATTGTAAAATCAAAACTTTCTAGTGATCACATCTAACCAGAACAGAGGTGAGCATTTGCAAAGAACAAAGGAGACCTCAAAGTAAATGTAAGTCAACAATCGTAACCCTTTAACTCCCATGAGTGACCAAGACAGAATTTCTCCTTGCAATATCAATACAATATCAACCAGATAAATGATGAGAATAAAGAAAAATATCAATTTGAGGATAATTAGTTGATCCAATACTAATTAGAATTCTCTGAACTAACTTTATTGTATAGTTGACAGTAAGGAGAATTACAAATTTGATCTGGGAGTTAAAGGGTTAAATGCAGGAAAATCTGGACATCCAAGTAATTGGTTTTAGTCTTAATTGTTATACATGTAGGGAATGGTAAAAGTTCTTTTAGACAAATTGCAGAGCGTAGTGAAGGGAATTGATGCAGTCTTGGGTTTCTTTTGTAACTTAGAATTGAAGTTTGTTCAGTAGTTTTATGATGCATTACCTTGACAAATGCGACATATCATATGGACAGCACAGTGCACTTGGTACAGGAAGTGGATGGAGTGAGAATTATTGGCAAAGAGACTCATGAACTGTTACAGAGAGTTCCTGGTAAGTCATGCAATGTGCTTCGACATGTTAAACTACCCTTTTGTGCATTAAGTCTACTCGAGTTAACCCTTTAACTCCCATGAGTGACCAAGACAGAATTTCTCCTTACAATATCAATACAATATTAAGCAGACAAGTGATGAGAATAAAGAAAAATATCAATTAGGGGATTATAAATTGATGCAATACCAAATTCTCCATGCTAACATCACAAGAACTGTATGGCAGACAGTAAGGAGAATTACTAATGAGATCTTGGGAGTGAAAGGGTTAATAACGATTTTTCTTTTCCTCTACCCCCTTTGTATTCTTCTGTGTTCTCGCGCGTGATTTCACAAATTAGTCAATCACATAAAAGAACTCGAACCTTGACTCTGGAAAACCGACGTGGACACTTTTCGCGTACTTTGTTGTTTGTTTTTTCACGGAGTTAAGCTGTTTTTGAGCTTTTGTTCGCGCAAATTTGTTGCCCCTTTGTGTGGAATTTAAGAATGTTTTGGAGTTCTTATTTTAGCCAAATGTTGTGGTTCATTTAACAAGTTTAATACATATTTTAGACGGAGTTTGGGCTCAAGCCTCTTTTTTCGTAAATGGGTTTTTTACAGGCACTGTGAAAATAAAGTGTTTTTCCTTTATTCCTTATTTATGATCAGGACTCGGCCAGATCTCGTACCCAGACCTCCCGACCGGGAGTTCAGAGCAGTAACTATTCGGCGCCGCGGCCCCCACATAAAATGATACTTAAACCAAGCAAGATTTATACCACATGACAGATCGTTTCATTGTACTTGCCTTTTACTTTGAATGTACTTTTTTGTTACCCTTTTGGCTCTAATAATTACCCAACTGCATTAAAAGGCCCTGGTTGTTTGAAGCTTATGTTAGGCTAGGCCAATTGATTCACCAGAGGGTTTGTGTTGCAAGGGTAGAACCAGAGCGAATAGCAAACTCCTTGGCCAAAATGAGGCAAACAAACCGAACTACCCTCACGCACCTATTAACACTTCTTGGAGACCAATGCGTCGTTTGAATACTTCGCTAAAGAATGCACTTACGGGAAGGAGGAGCAAGATCAAATAGGCAAGTCAGCAACAGAGAATGCAAAGCAAAAGCACAGTATCCCCTCCCCTCTTCTTTTCCTTCATTCACGCAAAGTGTATGGAGCATCTTCTTAAAATATTTAGTTCGGAAAGTATGTATACAACATCATAAGAAACTTCACCTTAGCAATATCACCGACTTTTAACTTTCTCTTTTTTTTCATTTGTCATCCTTTCAATTGCCAGCGGCCGTGGAGCAAGTGTTCAAAATTGGTTCAATGGAACCTGGGGCCATGTTGTATGATGCATCTAAAGAATTTGAGGTAAGTGATTACAAATTACAAGTTGATCTCACTGTGCGACATACTGTCAGTTTATTTGTTGAGTTTTTGTTCGAGCGATCTCAATTTATGGTTAAGATTACGAAGTTCACTGAGCCACGTGCTAAATGTGTGGGCGTGGACGGGTTGAACACATGAATTCGATTCCTCTTTGTTAATGTCAGAGAAAGGAAAGAACGAAACAAGAGGAAAAAGTATTCCCTGATGATTTGACTTACCCTGAATATTCATTTTGTAAGCTCCTGAGAGATGCTTTTGTGGTTTTACCGTGGAACTTTGTCAAACTTCAGTCTCGAAAGACAAGAGCTGTGTTTTCACAGCTCCCCAAACTTACAAACGTATTATAGTCCCAATATTCAAGTGTCATCTCTCAAGAAACACTTTTTTATGGCTGCAGAAAAAGAGTGCTAGAGCCGAGGAGTACATTCGCATGATCAAGGATCGACTTCCAGAAGCTGTACAGCAGTGCATCCACGCAGCTGCAGGAGAGTATGAGCCTGCAGTACAAAGAGGTCTTTTGAGGGTAAATAAACTCTTAATTTTATGTTTTGATTGGAGTTATTATTAGTAGAGCTTGTAGCTCGTTGTTGCTGACCAGTTCAAGTTTTAAAATTTGTCTTGAGTGATTCTTGATACTTGTTAAACAAAAATCTGATATTTGAAAAGAACGTAGGCATAATCTATTACTCCGTGCTCAATTGATTTTTGACGGAAAGGACAGAGAGTTTTTTTACACTCTCAACGCAGTCCTTAAGTATTTTAATTGACGCATAATGTAATCATTTAAAAAAATAGAGCTTTCAACAATTGTCACAAGCTTGTTCCGTGTTTGCAGCCGGATACTGTTTGTTCAACAAAGCTGCAGAAATCTATTTTGCGCGTGTGGTCCTAGTGAAAGCTTCATTTGATACAAGCCTTTTTGTCATGAGATAGCGTGAGAGAATTGTTTAATCTAGAAGTCGATCGTCTTTGCTGTCTTTATTGTTCACTATTGTGAGCTACTTCCTTTTTGCCTTCCAGGCCGCGTCATTTGGTAAAAGCTTCTTAACTGACACGTCTCCGCAGGCATTCGTGACAATGTGTAGAACTCTGAGAGTTTTAAATGCTGTGCGGGACTACATGGTCGGTGTGCCACTCACATATGGCCAGTATCCTTTTAAAGACTTTGAAGTGATCAACAGTCAACTTCTTGCAGCAGTTTTATTACGTTACCTAGCAAAAAAGTGTTGATAATTTATCAAAGTATCAGCGGAAGGATTGGAACTTGACATAACACATTCCTGATCCCATCTTGGAAGTTAAAGGATCAAGGAATACAATGTTATGCTCATGATTCGATTGAATTCCTATCAGAAAATTTTCAGGAAAAGTTGAAGTTTGATTTGCTTTCTACCTGGTCACTGTCGCAGATTTATCTGCGTTAAAATCTAGAAAATCTTGAAGGAAACTAAGGAACGCAAAAAAATACGTACTGGAAAATGTTTAAAAGACTAAGTAAATTGGCTTTGGGTAATCGTGGAAAATGATAGCTTCGCACGCAGACGTTTTTGGACTTGCTATGCATAACATGTTGGAGGAATGCGTGACGCGTCTGTGCTCTCTTATTCCACGTTAAGACCTTAACACAGTCTGCAGACTGGAAAAGCTTATAATGAAAACCCTGATCGACAGGTAAGAATGCGGTTTCGCATTTTAATCTTTTTTGAGTTCATACCCTAAAAAATCGGCTGTGACTTGATCATATTGTTAGCGGACGTTTACGTAGCATGAAGTTATCAGATTTTTAAAATTCTTCTTTCCTTGAGGCCTTTGAAGAAGGAAAAAGTCCCGATCATTGCCTTCTATTTCTTTAGTATGGAAATTATTGGAAAGAGGAAACTACCCTACATTTGTTTCCTGACGTATTAAAAGTTCTTTGGTTAATAATCGTGTTTTTAAATCAGTTTATTGGCTTAAGTATTTAAGTTATTTTAAGTTAAATACTGGCTCATTTAGCTAATTTTAAGGGAATATTACATCAACTGAATTATCGGTCTTGAGAGTGTATTAAGACGTGAACTTAAGTAATAAATTTACGTCTTAATCGTGTGAGTTTTATTTAAGTGAGATTATTTTACTCATTTCTCTTCTTTTAGACTTGTTTTACGACGTCACTACTGTCTGGCCATTCGGATCTGCGATTATTTAAAGATTCCTAAAGGGGAAGGAGCCAGTCGTATTCTTGGACACTGGGCTTGTTATAAAGTATGCTTCTAATTAAGAGGCGCTTGTATTAAGGAAATCATGGTGCACACTGATTTTTCGCTGTTCTTGATTGATAATACTAAAAATGACTTAACCCTTTAACTCCCGAAATGTGTTTGTTAATTCTACACTCTAGCTGCTGCACATTACCTTGTAAGTTAGTTACGATAATTTGGTGTTTGATCAAGATAACAACTTCTACCTGATAAGTTCTACTATTCTTACCACCTATTTGTTGAATAGCGTTTGGATATCATGCGGAGAAATTGCATGTTGATCACCCCAAGGAGCTAAAGGGTTAAACGTCATGTTTCCCTATTTGTGGTTCAAAAGGCATTCTGTCGTAGACTAAGAATGGGTTCTTAGGATTGTTTTCTTTGTATGAAGTGTACACAGTTGCTCCACAGTTTGTTATGATTATTACGTTCACTACGTGTTTAACTCTCCTTCTCTCTTTAAGTTCCACAAATCTTGACGTCTAGCATTACATTCCAATTAATCAAAGTATACCATCTGAATTCACTTGGTCAGAAAAACTGAAAAGTAGGCCTATTTCAAATCACAAAGAAAAATTCATTTGTAAAAGTAACGATTTATCAGTTACTTTCCTAGAAATTTCCTAGCAATACCTAATCAATCATTTCTCGCCTTTCCCAAGATACTTACGGTGCAAATGGTTAGAATTTTCAATGTCACCACCTCTTCAACCAAATCGTTTCAGTTTTTATGATTAAATGGTCTGTTGTTATTAACTAATTGATAAGACTCCTATCATCTTCCGTCAGGTTCAACAAGCAAATGTTGATGACGAGGAGATAGCTCGAGCCATCAATTCCAAACTCGGAGAGACCCCTGGGATATCCTACTCGGAGATCGCGTCCAAAGCAGTGGACTGTGGGAGAACCCATCTTGCTATCAAGGTTGGTCCTGCTGTTAACAAAATGATCAAGAGAGATTTTCTCCTCACACGCAAGATGGAAAAGTCTGGGGGTCTAAAATGCATGTAGTGTCTATTCGCTTTTTGTGCCCTTTCTTAGTGATTTCCATGTTCAGTTTTATTTATGTGTAAAGTCGAAGGAAACATCGTTGAGCTTTTTCTTAACGAAGACGAATTAAATTTGTCAATAATGATTTCCAAAACGATGCCACCAATGAAACTCCCCAACTTGGAGCGATACTAGTGAAACTCACTGAATGAGAACAATGTGACGAGATGCAATTCCAAAGGAAAGGTTATAGAGTAGTTGCTTTACATGGCCTCAGGTTTTAAGGATCTTACAGTATATCTCTTTTTCTAACAGCTGCTGGACTATGAAGCAAAGGCTGCTGATCAAGTCCCACTGCTCATGCGTATGAATAAAGATGACTTAGCGCTTGACAAAGCGATCATGAGTGGTGACACAGACTTAGGTAAGCAATGAGCATGCGCACTGGTATCAGTAGATAGCCCTTAGGAGTTAAAAGCAACTGGTTTACTGCGATAAAACAATGTCAGTAATACTCACTCCCGTTCCCACAACTGAGAAAGTTTATTTTGTCAAACTTGCGATTAAATTATTACTTTAAAGTGATTATTACCCTGAGGATAAACAAGTTTGATTGATGTCACCTTTGATTTAAATTTGCTGCTATTGGAAACAAGACTCTGTAAGATTCTTAACGAAGGTTTTCTTGACAAGAATGTAATTCCAGTTTTTACTGAACCCTGTGACCCCACAGAGTGACTAGTATCTAATTTCTCCTTATATTGTCACCCCTAAATCACACATAAAGGTCTGAGAATTAAGGAAATGATCACCTGCCAAAGAGGGTTTTGATTTTAAAACAAGTTCTCCTTGTCAGCACCCTGGAAATGGTACGGAGAACAGTATGGAGAATATGCATACTGATATTAGCGAGTAAAAGGTTAAGCAAACTCCTTAATTGGATATCTTAGCCGTTTTGTTTCCATTTAACCGCAAGTCCTGTTGCAAATCCTGTGATTTAAGTGTCTTTTTAGAGCCAATTTAACTTAAAGGGAAACTTGTTGATGACTTTTTTTGTGATAAGCTATGCGTGACATTTGGAGGATGTAAACATGACGTATATTTTCAGTTTACATGGTTGTGATGCATTTAAAGGACAATTTGACTTTGGGAGAGTTCCTGATGGCCATACGTCACAGGCGTGTAGCCCTCAGCCTCTACATCAAGGTGAGGGTTTTAAAAATTGAGGATCAATTGCATGATAGCACAGCGAGGTGGTCCAAGTGGTTTTTGTACCTTGGACGTGTTCAATTTTAGCAGGTGTTTCCAAGGGCGTTAACATCAAGTTTCAAATTAATGTCTCATTGGCTTTAACTGAGAAATATCTCGTGAATTTACCCAAAGCTTTTGAAATTAAAATATGTTGTATGCATTGTTAATCAAATAGAATTAAGTTTGTTAAATTATTGTTACTTGACTGTGAGTGTCTAGTTTAAGCTGCGATTCAGCTGTTGGGCATGCATGATCAGAGCCTTGTTTATAGAATGCCTGAATACGTGAAATACACCTGCAAACCTATTCTTGACGAACTGTTCCTCAGTGCATGTACACATTACGCACCTTATGCCTTGCGTGCCATATGTACGCCTTGTGAGCCGATTTTTTACTTTCGTTATCCGGTCGTCAAGAAGGTGAGAAACCCAGGATGCATAAACGCTTTTCTTCACTGAAAATTGATACATGCAGCTTTTTGAAGACTTGTGATATGCTGACCGTTATCATCAAGACGACAGGAAAAGAAATACTGCTGTTCCAGAAATGTTTCTTGGAGTATAGATATCGAGCGAACATGTATGCCTTGCAACTTTATATCTATTTCTGTGAACCCATAAGTTCTAATCGTGTTGATATGTACGATTCGCGGACCTTTTTTCACTTGCAGTATTGTAAAGAACAAGACCGCCGCACACTCGTGGACTTGTTTTACCAAGACGATCAGTTTCTGAACAGTGGCAACGCGTTTGTTCAAGACAGCTACAGCGAAAAGGTAACGTCAGGATTTGATATTGGATACGTAAGATGCATGCCTAATTATAAGGACTGAAATGCGACGGGTTTTAGAGCACAATTAAAGTTAAAGACTGGAACTTCCATCGTAGCGCGATGAGATTTCAAAAGTTCCGTTCGTCGGAAGCTTTCACCGCGGAAAAATAAATTTGTTCATGCAAAACAACATTTAACCTATTAGAGACTACGAAAAATCAGTGTAAAGAGTGAGAGACCCGTCATTATTTATCGCCAAGGATTGAAGGATTTTGCTTGTGTTACGATAATCATTTACCGGATCTCCCCATAAGGCTCTCTAAGATTCTTATGATACCCTCTCATTTATCAGTAAATTGTCAGTCAACTTTCTGTAGTCCTCTTTTGTACTCTGCCAGAGACGACTGATCCCTCCCCGCTCCGTTCCCCCCCTTCCCCCTCCCTCACGGGGAAGGTTGAAACATATTACGAATGACGTGCAAGATGCACAAAATGTGATGTAGTTCCATTGAATGAAAATAATAATGATAAGCCATGGTTATTGGTAACACTCTGTGGAAATACGGACCATCGAAAATTATAGCGAAGATTTCATTCCCCTTTCCTTTAGACGCTAGAAGCCAAGAATAAAACGTTGTCGAAGGCGCAGATGTCTTACCAGCAAGGGAACTTTACGTTTTATGCAAAGGTAAGTGTTGGTCATCTCGCGCCGTTATATCAAAGTCAATGTCTGGAATTCAATAATTCCTCGTGGGGAACTAAAGCCGTTTTTTCCAGTTTGTCACCTTCGCCAAAAAAATGTGTAAATATTTCTCTCCAGAGGTGAACAGTTTTTGATATTGTTGTAGCTGTTGTCAAAGGAAATATTTCAATGCCCTGGTCAGTGCTTGAACCATGGATAGAAGCAAACAAATTCAATCATTGATATGCGTCTTTTTTGTTTTTTTGATTTGGATTAATTCTCAGTTTATTTATTTCCTTACGTGATGACATTTGGTCACGCTATGAGAATTTTTTTATAATAGTTTCCCTAAGTGGAGTGCAAAATAAACTTGTGGAGTGTTTTGCAATCATTTCGAGGTTTTTGGTCTCATGTAGGCAACAGAAGAACACATAAAACTCATGGAATATCAAGATAAACTGAAGGAAAAGCACGGAAAGACGTTCATGGATATGCCTTTAAGTGATACCATTTACCAGGTATGAATTCATGCAGCATCCAGACTTTAACTCCTAAGAATGACTTACTTTAAACTTCTCCTTGCGATCCAAATATGTTGCCTTGCAAACGGGTTGTAAGAATACACAAGCCTATCAGCTTGAGGCTGTTGCCTTCCTGTATCACCAAATACTCCTCCCTAATTTGCAAGGAAATGTTTAGCAGTCACTAGGGAGAATTACTAAGTAGATCCTGGTTGTTAAAGGTTCAAAGTTGTGTGATTAGATGTGATTATGGGTTCAACCCCTGTTTGGTAGGAAATGAGAGGCGTTTATATTGATAGAAGCTCTTTAGAAACAAGGTTATCGCTTTTGCAGTGTTGGAATGCTTCAGAGAAAATCGTTTTTTGTTTTTCGTTCAATAATAATTAATTCATAGACAGTCTGAACCACCGAAACATCGACAACTCTTTCTAGAGAATACGTTGTTTTGTTGCAGTGTGTACTTCTCGGAGACTTAAAGGCAGCCGAACAATTGAGGAAAGAGTTTAAAGTTCCAGACAAAAGGTTTGTTGCTGAACTGTTCTCTTCCAATACATGGTGTGAAGCGAGCGCGAGGAAAGTGCGCGGCGAGCGAGAGGAAAGCATGAAGGGTAAGTCATTCGCGAGATGAGGAGTGCTCCTCCGCTCGCGCGTGTTTCGCCCCCCGCGCTGTCCTTGCGTTCGCCTTGCGCCTACCCCACCCATTCCCTGCCCTCGCCTCGCGCCTCGGAGCGTCCGGAGTATTAATCGGAAGGTCGTAGGTTCGACTCCTACAGGAAGCACTCGGAATTCTTTTTCTCCGAGTGCGCTTATGTCATTCTCCGAGGAACATCTTCGTTCCCTTTTCTCTTCCCTTTAATCGCTGAAATCAGAGTTTATTTTCTTGCTTGATTTATATTCTTGTGATTCTAAAGCAGTCCTACCCAAATTGCACCGAACATTCAAGTAACTTAATGATAGTTTTAGTAGCCTTCTATACTTTTTTATTGCACAGGTTCTACTGGCTGAAAGTTAGGGCACTTGCTGAAAATAAAAGTTGGTTGGAACTAGACAGGTTTTCAAAAGCGAGAAAATCTCCTATAGGATATGAGGTGAGGTTTTGCGTTTTTGAAGTAAGTTTTCATAACTTGCTCTCAAACTGTGTTTCATTCCTCCTCGATCCTGTCGCTCTTAAAGCAAACTGTTGTAACTTGAGTAAATCATCTTGTTGTGAACCCTTACATTCAGTTCATGGTATTGCCCATGTTTTATTTGTGTAGAGCTGAAAACTCTCTTGTTGGTGTTGTTTTTGGTGTAAGGTCAGAATTAGACTTTTCTCTAAGGATGTTGTTTATTATTATAATTTATCGAAGTTATTACCAAAATACTCAAATGCGGAGAAAGGCAACATTTCTGTGATTTAAACGTTTTTCCTTCATACAGCCATTTTTCGATGCTTGCCTTGAATTCGACAACAGAATCGAGGCAGAAAAATACGTTCCTCGGGTTCTGCCAGAGAACAAAGTGGCCTGCTTTGTCAAACTTGGGTATGAAAACCTTTCTTATATTTCATTTCCCATCTCCAGAAACCTTATGAATTTCATCGCGTCATCAAAAGAGAACACACAAAAATTTACTTTTAAATGCATTATGAAATCCAAAGAGAAAGCAAACCATGCGAAACTGTCTAAAAGTGTGCAAGAAACTCGAAGATGAATGCCTTCATTTTAGAAACAGCTTAGCAACATCGTGGTCCTCTTCGCAGTCTTTGTTTGGTTCTGTTGGAAACTTTCAATCTCGCTATCCCTACAAAAAATTATTTGAGTCAAGAATGCCTCTTCTGTAGCTCCCAAATGTGCGAACAGATCACTAAGAGATAGAGAACCCAGTAACACTATGGTGAACTGTAATCATAGCATAAGCCGACCTTTTTTTCAGGTTATTCTTCAATCTTCACATTTGATTTCATTCTACTTGTCTTTGAAAGATGAAACTCATTTTGAATTTTTCTTTTGCGCATGAAAAAGCTTAGAGATGTTTCTAGCATATACAGGAAGGAATAACTGACAATTTGGGAAGGTCCTTTGAAACCAGTTTGAATTTTCGCGACCTCTTTCGAAGAAAAATTAAGTCACATGGACAAAGATCGTAACTAAAATTATCTTTCAGATATTTGTCTCAAACTTTGATGGTCAGTCTCAAGACAAACTGAAATTTTATAAACCCTTCTTAAGTAACTGGTTTTATTTCTGTTCGCAGGAAATTCGAAGATGCGGCAGAAACGGCTTTTTCTCAGAAAAGCGAGGAGGGTCTGGATCTAGTTCTTGGAAAATGCGCATCATCAAATCGAACGCTAGCCAATCGTATTCAGGAAATGAAGGCTCATTTACGCCAGAGGCGATAACTTTTTATGGAGCGCAAGAAAGCGACCGAATATTTAATTTAGAAAGTTTTCAATAAAATGAAGCGAAAAAATTAAAAATATTTAGGAAAATTAGATGTAAGACACTAAGGGCCGGTTATTTCCACGAGATCTGTTCGAAACCGAGGTTTTACGCAATCAGTGGGTCTTACAAGGTCTACATAAGAGGGTTGTTTTCATCAAATAATTGTGTTTTCATCAAATAATTGTGCTTTCACTGCTAGCTTTCAGCCCCATGGACTCTGTTAACAAAAATTTAATGTTCAGGTGAAAGATTAAGCTAAATTCAAGATAGTTTAGTGCGTGGTTTTGTTAAACGACCCCGGACTAAACTTTGTTTAAATAACCGGCCCAAAGTGATAGCAAGGTGAAGTCGCGTCACTCAGTCAGATTGACTTGCGCTTTCTGATTGGTCGACGCTCAACTCATATCTTAATTATCACATGCGAGATGCATTTAATACTGAAAACTGCATTTTTTTTTTCAAATTACCGCCGTGGTATTTTTGTGTCTGTTTCTAGAGTAGTTGGTTTGATAATCACTTGAGAAACTAGAGAAAAACAACTGTGAGATTTAGTGAAACTGTATCATTAAACATTACCTAGCAAAACTTGAAACTTGCGTGAAATTAGCCTTTTGTAACTAGTGGTAATCAGAGAAAGCGAATTGCGCTCGACTCTTGTTTGTTTGGTAGTGTTTTTTTTTTTTTTTTGTTTTTTTTTTTGTCGTTGTTGTTGTTTTTGTTTGTTTGTGTGTTTGTTTGTTTGTTTTCGTTCAGAGATTTAAAGATGATTGTTCTTTTCGAGGCTGAGAACCTCTGGTATAATTTTTAGGGAATTAACCAGAAAGGACCACGACGCTTTCGTCCTATTTTGAACATTCCTATTTTTTTTTTAATAGTTCCAATATTAAACTATTGCGTCCGGTGTTACTTGCCTCTCCTTCTTATTCATCGTCCCGGGAAGAAAGAAGGAAATCCAACATGGTGAAAAATAGAGAAAATTATCGATCTCACTTTGCCATTGAAACCTGAAAACGGGTACGGTCTCGTAGCTTCTCGACTTAAAAGCAAGTGTTTCGCTTTGGTTATATTTGCATCTACAACCTTGCCAAACAAGTACTTTGAATTTGATGTAAGGATAGGCTGTTCAATAGCTTTTATAGCCACACCTCCTCGTGCCCCGAGTATGTTTCGTACTGCACAACTGCAATGAGAGTTAGTTCAACAGCAACAAGTGACCCGAAATATATATCCGCGAAAGGCGACTCGCCCCGTGATCAGTTTAAACATGGTTGTTCTTAGCTCGCCAACAGATTAACAGAACAAACTAACGTATCAGCCACGCGTTGTTATCTTACTTAAGTACCAAATTCCTCTACCTAGTTTACAAGACGAAGTGTACCAACCGGAAGGGAGAATCAGGAATAGATCTTTGCGGTTAAGAGTTGTACTCTCTTTAACTGTAGAACGTACGTTGGTGCTTAACTGCGCGCGATTCTCCTAGCCTTGCGTAGTTGGTGCGTTACGGACTAAATCGCCTATGATTTTATGGCAGGTTCCTATCTTATCATATCGGGAAGATCATGGGAACGAGTTTGATTACATCTCCCACAACCCTTTTCGAACGTAGATGAATTCAGCCATATTGCACATGTGGATAAAATGAGAGTACTCTATGCTGGACTAAAAGTTTGGTTATTTGATTATTCGAGTTTATTTAGCGTTTTATTTGTTTGTAACTTGGCAGAGGTAGCCCCTTCATCATGTATGCTTATGGGGCGTTGGCTGAAGTGCTTTGCTTGACTGCAAGCTGCCAGGCTAGGACAATCTGCAGTGTACAGAACATTGAACTAACAATTGAATGAAGGTAAATTTATCATTTTACGTGTAATTTTTGCATTTATTTCGATGTTGTGATGGTAAAACTTAGAGTAGCCGGAAATACCATGCTCTTCCAAGACCTCTCCATTTGTTCCATGTATCTGTGCTCTGAAAAGCGATATAATCTAATTATATCAACAACCACAACTTTTATTAAAATGACATTCAAATTAACTTGTGGCTGGGTAATCTACAGGGTAGTAGGAGTAGATTTTTCACATGATAAAACTAGATTTTTGATCATAGAGATATTTCATATCTCCACTCAATAAAAATTTAATTAGTAGCTCCAAGGTGATTTTTATGTCCCTGAGACCCTCAATTACTAGTAAATGCATGTGAAATATGAGGTCTTAAGGTGGAATATGAGGCAAACTTAATGTTTTCAGAATGCTTTTATTTTCTGGTGATTGCATGGTTACCCAACAACAACGTTCTGTGCTAAATTTGAGGTTATGGGAACAATGCATTTATAAGATATAGGGGAAGGAAGTTTTGTTTCTAAGGGCTAGCTACATTTTTTTATAGCTACAGCCGTGCACCACTTTGCTTCAGGTATATTCTGCACCAAATACAAATTTACACAAACAAAGTGCAGAACATTAAAAAGACTATTAATAATGGTAGAGTCCAATTCGGTTTGCAATCATATGAGTAAGTTAACAAAATCAGATGACCAAGAAGAGGGAGTCTGATTTGATTGTCACTTGTAAGACTGCAGACAAAATTGGATGACACAAAGTCCTGTTACCAATTGACTAAAACTAGTCTTTGATGATGCATTTTTATGAAAAAAAAAACAACAGATAACTCAGCAAAATCTGCAACAGCAGGGTGTATGCATAACACGTACTGTCCACGTACAAAGGTATGACATATCAAGTGTCCTATTACACTTCCCAGTTACAAGCATGACACACATACTGCCCTATTAGCACTCAAATCAGGCTAGTAACCAATCATGTTTTAGAAATTTATTATAGTTTTGATTAAAGCCATGATAAAAATATTCTCCAAAGTGAATCCATTTTGTACAGTGTGTAGGCTCAGTATCAATTTCTTCTTATTTTCTGAAGGTCAAATGTCTGATGGGTGAATAAGTGGGCCAACTAAAAGATTCAAGCAGATCAAACCTGATGATGTTTGCTTTCCTCTGTGATCAAGCTGTTTTATGAACCAGGTAAACAAATCCTTTTTTTATGCCAAGTTCTGTTCTGATGCAATGTAGCAATTGCTTGATGCTGCCAACTTAGTGCACATCAGTGTCAGTGTGTGTAGAACATAAACTTGAAATTTACAGTAGACTTGCAGTGTATTATAACATACAATGAGATAAGGTTGATTTCTTTGTCATTTTTCATGGTGTTTTGTAACAGTTGACTGTCTGATTTGTGGGTCCAATAAAGAAAACTTTACAAGATATATGTATCCGAAAGCATAAAGCTGTATTAAAGAGTAATTTAAATCTTAAAAATGGTAAATTCTAGCATGGGGAAGGCCAAAACTAAGAAACATTTAAAAAGAGAGGGCTAATTAGAGCTTCTCATATATTTTTTGGGGACTGACAAAACAATTGACTTCTGTAATGACATCAAGAGATTGGCAAGCTACCTGCCTGTATGGCTGACTGAATGGCTGACTGACGGTCTGAATATCTGTGACTGACTGACTGACTGAGTGGTTGGCTGTCTGGTGTATGGCCAGTTACCTACATCAGGGCTCGAAATTAAAAAAATTCCAAGTTGCCTTTTGGTGATCATCAAAGACAAAATGGTCGCCAAATGCAAAAATGCAGTCACCAGATAGTACAAGAACAGAACCTCAGATTAGAGCCTCATTTAATTGGCATTGTTGTCCGGCTTCTGGTAGATTGTGGCTGTGGTTGTGGGACAGACCAAAATATTTGATCTTGAATAACTTAAAACATGAAAACATGAAAGAAAAAACCCTGGAAGACTTCTACACGACAATCCTACCTTAAGCAGTAAGCAAACAAAGTAATAAGAACATTTCAGGGTTACTTTAGCCAGGAACAACTGCATCTGTCACATCGCATGCAAGAAATCATACAATACAAACATTTTTGAAAGACCTTGAAACACTGCTTGTTTGCATACTAGCAACAATCATGCTTCCTGGTAATTTCTAGACTGCAGCAAATTATGAAATTCACATTATTACAGTTGATCTATTTAGGTTATTGTTTGCATGTTAATTGTTTGAGTCATTAATAAGAATTTTGTTTGTTAATGACACTACATAGGGTATTAATTTTCTAGAATTTAATAGATTATTAAATAAATAAGTAGCGAAAAGAAACAAATCAAAATACAAAAGTTGAGAAGAAAAAGGACACAATACAATTTTATAAAGACAAAAAAATTTCCATTTGTTCTTGAATTCCTTCTCCTTATTATGAGTGACTGCAATATATTTTTCTAGATTAATTTTTTCGTGCACAAGTGAGACAAAATCATCAAATTGGTACGTTATGGTATTTAAAGCGTTAACATATAAGAAATATTTACCCAAAATAACGAGATGGTTGAGGGCCAAACCATAGGTGTGACAGCGAATAATTCAGTAATTCAGCAGCAGTTTCATATTACTAGAGATTGAGTACCACTCCTGGAATCTATTCCAAAAAGATCTTGTGTGCATGTAGTTTATAAACAAATGTCACAGGGCCTGACAGTCAGAAGGACAAAGGGACAGGAGGGCGAGGCAACTTTTTTCAAAGTAACAAGCTATTTTTTGGTAAAATTCGGTGAATGATTTTGTATTGGAACATTATCAATTTAATTTCTCTCACAGCTTTGAATGGTAGGAGGTAAATTTTAGTCAATTTTAGTGTATTCTTCTCTTGTGATAAATAATTCATGACTTTTGGTGTAGACTCATCTCACTTAGGGAAAGCCCGTTCCTTGCAACAGAATCTGTGACAGATCGCTTTTAAATTCAGCTGCCTTTCAACAAAATGTTGCGCCTGCAATCACCATGTAGAAGCCACTGTAATGTTCTCTCAGAAGTCACAATTTGAAAGCAATTTCAAGTTTTAACTTAAAGGTAAACAAACTTAATTTGCATTTCCTTTTGCAGAAAAGCAGAAATGAGACTTGTGAAATTGTTTCTTACCTTTAATCTTTTATTTATCAGAGGAACATGGTTGCCAAAGTGGCAACTAAACTCAAATTTTTAGTTGCCTAGTTAAAAGTTTTAGTTGCATTGGCAACCGTATCAGTCGCAATTTTGAGCCCTGTATATGTAGTTGAGAGACTAAGTGACTTAGTGTCTATCTGGCTGA